GCTCATTTTTGAAGTAGCTGTTCTCCTGGTTCTGGACACCTCGCGCCATCATTAGTGATAGATGAACCCATTTTCAAGGGCAATTCACTAAGCTCCTCTCTCGCTATGGTGTTAAGCATCAGGTGTCGGTGGCTTACCATCCCCAGTCAAATGGTCAAGCCAAGCTGGCGAACTCGGAGCTTAAAAGAATAATTGAAAAGACGGTGGATCAGTCCCGCAAGGATTGGTCCACCAAGCTTGATGATGCTCTTTGGGCATATAAGACATCCTACAAAACCCGATTGGTACTTCACCCTATAGCCTTGTCTATAGGAAGGCGTGTCATTTGCTAGTAGAGCTAGAGCACAAGGCCTTCTGGGCCATTAAACTGCTGAATCTGGATTTGAGTGTTGCAGGTACCGAACATAAGCTGCAACTCCTGGAGTTGGAGGAGTGGCGTTACCACGCCTACGAGAACACCCTCTCTACAAGGAGAGAACCAACGTCTCCACGACGCTCGGTTGAGGGGCTCGAAGGATTTTCAGGTAGGTGATCGTGTTTTTCTCTTTAATGCACACCTGAAACTCTTTCCGGGCAAGCTACGTTCGAGGTGGGCGGGACCCTTCACGGTCACCAAAGTTTTCCCGCACGGTGCGGTGGAGATCAACAATGCTCAAACTAAGTCGTTCAAGGTGAATGGCCACCTCCTAAAGTTGTACTTGGGAGGTGCTGTCGAGCGCGCAGAGCTGCTGATCAAACTCGAGGACCCTTAGTTCCTCTACTGGCGTCCAACTAAAAGACGGTAAAGAAGCTCTTGTGGGGAGGCAACCCCACCTAGGTTTGCATTTCCTTTCCTTTTTATTTTTAATTTTTGTGTTTTTTGATTCTTGAGGTGTTGTCCAAGGTTCGTATGTAAATTTTGCGCAAAAATGGGTTGAAACCGGGGTTCTGGAATTCCACACGGCCGTGTGGATTTCCCCTTTGGCCCTATGAAGCCACTAGAAATCCCACACGGGCAGATGGGGGCTGCTACACAGCCGTGTGAATCTCTCGGCCAGCCCGTGTGGATTCCTCGACGACACACGGGAAAAACCCCGTTCCACACGGCCATGTGGCCTGCCCGTGTCGCAACCCGGGCACCTATAAATTTGGCCTGCACGACCGCGTTGGCCAGAAAAGCCACTCCCCCTTGCCGGAAAACAACGCCCTTTCACTTTTTTGGCGATTTTCCGGCCATTTTTGGTCGGTTTTTCACCAAAACAACACCACACCCAACCTTCCCTCCTCATTTTCGGCCTTTCCCTTGATTTTGGGGCGATTTGGTTCGGTTTGGGTCACCGGAGGCGATTTCCGGCGAGGCTCCGACGAGAATTTTTGGGGTCAATTTCGGGCTTTCGTCACTTCCTTTGCCTTCCCCTCATCATCCCCTACACCTCTACTTGTGTCTCCAGGTTTGACTTTTCCCTTTACCTTGTGAATTGTGGAGAATTGGGTGTTAGGGTGTACTTTTAGAGAACCGCTTTGAAATGTGTGAATTGATTGAAATTGATTGAGGGGAAGGCTTGGATTATATGTGGATTGTGTTGGGAAATGTTTCTCTTTCTTGATTGAGCCCTTGTGTGCTAGGAATTTGCTCATTCTATGCTTAACTTAAAAGTGCACACAAGGTGTTAGATGAAATGCCAGTTTTCATACCATTTTGTGGGGGCCGGTTGGGGCCCTTAATGATGTGCTTTGATGGTCTATTTGCTATGGATGTGAACCTTAAGTTGTCTACTTTATCGTGGATGTGCACCCCCCACCCTGATTGTGCTTGTTTGCTTGAGTTATTGACCCCCAAACTATGGATGAAACTACGGTTTGCCTTTTTTCTGTTATAAAATGTGGGGGTGTGATTGACCGTATCTATTGATCATTTGGCTCCACTTGGGTTTTCTTTCTTGCAGGACCATGTCGAAACCTGACCTCAAGCATCAGTTCATCCGCGATTTGAAAAGGGCCCCCCACAAGGATCGCTTTAAGCGCGTCCTAGCCTCTCAGTTTGGTAGGCATCACTACTGGTCCAGGAGGGAGTTAGAGAAGCTGAATTGCTACGACCACTTCCTCGCTATTGCCACCAACCGCACATGGCGCCGACTGTTGTCTATTCGTGAGAAAGTCTCCCACGAGCTGGTGCTTGAGTTCTATACGACCTTTCGGCACAAAGAGACAACCGACTGGGCGCACGACGAAGCCGTCAAGTTCAGGCTCGGCGGTGAGCCCCGCTCCATGAGCTACCATGATTTGGTGGTCGCTCTCGACCTTGGCCTGGACGATGACGAGGACTATGTAACCGAGCTCACTAATCCAGAAGGTGTTAATTTCAAGGTGTTGTACACCCGGCTAGCTCAGCCCGGTCAGCCTCTCTTCCATGCAGGGCAGATGAATGCTAGCACCTTGCAGCTCGATAAACGTATACTCCACCACTTGCTAGCGAAGTCCTTCACCCCAGCTGGGGACAGTGCCAACACCCTCACCAGGAGGTCCATGTACTTCATCCAGTCCATGCGCACGGCGAACCATAATCTCCACCTGGATTCTGTGGTGGCAAGGACTCTGGACAAGAGTGCTGTTAATCTGGGGACCCTCCACTGCACCCCACTAATCACCCGCCTGTCAACCTATTTTTGGATCCCATATCATGATTGCACAAAGCAGGGGGACACTTGTGTCTTCGGCGAAGACACGATCTCGAAGATGCACCTGCTGCGAGTCGAGCGTGGCGTCAAGTGGATTGAGGGGTTTCCTGCTCCACCCCTCCTTGCGGAGGATCAGCCCGCAGTTCCTGAGGATGATGCCACTGAGGATGTCCACCCCCGATGATGTGGACGCTGCTGCCGCCCACACAACCCCTCACTAGACCACCTTTGAGTACGGGGGTGGAAGCTCCACTTTTCCATCCCAGGACTACTTCACTCACCAGTTCCAGCAGCTGAGTATCTAGAATCAGCAACTCCTCGACCACCACCTCCAGTTCCAGCAGCAGTACTCGGCTCACTAGGCCGAGTATAATACCCGGATGGCTGTATTTGATGAGCGCCTCGATCGCATGGAGGCCCAGCAGGGGGTGACCCTTGCTCACATCGAAAGGGAGCGGGGCTGGTCTCAGCGTATGCAGGAGGTCCAGCAACACCTGTTCCAGCTGATACTAGGCGAGCAGCCAGTCTGGAGGACCCCCTGTGAGGAATCTCCACTTCCACCCCCGCCAGTCGGTGATGATGCATTCATGGACAACATCGACCTTGAAAACCTTGGTGACGAGTAGTCTGTACTAGTCGCCCCTTCGAGTGTGTTTTTTGTTTTGGACTTTTCTTGTTTGCTCCATGTGTGTGCGGAGCTTGAACTAAGTCTTTTGTGTGTTTTTTCTTTTTCTTTCTTTTGTGGATTGTTCATTTTGTGGCCAGCTGGGCTAACTCTGATCCCTAACGCACAGTGTGCTAGTGTGTTCTTTATGTTCCCTTCGTGCAGAATTGTTCCGTCGTTCCATCTGTTCCCCACTGACTAGTCCACTTCCAGTCTCCTGGCAGTCTTTCCACCAGGTAACATCGTTCCCCTTATCTTTCCCTTTGCTCCATTGAGGGCAATGTCGAACTTAAGTGTGGGGGGATGCTTTTATGTGTGCTTGGAGCCTAGTCCGCTGTCCAAATCTCGAGATTTGAGGGCTCCAAGTACTAAGGTTTGCATGATCATATTGGCACTGTGGATTTGATTGGTGAATCAACTGGTTTTTGAATTAATGCATGACAACTTGATTGTAATTAGGACAACCTATGATGATGACTGAGACGTGCAGTAGAATTGTGTAGGAGTTCAGTTTTTCAACTGTTTGCTTACAACCTGTGACTTGGATTGATCACTTGCTCTTGACAGTCGTTTATGCATCTAGTTCAGGGAATCAGAATGAGAGATAGAGCATATAGGTAGCCATGTGAGATTTGAGCCCGCTCGTTTCTTTCTTGTGCGATAGATCCCTCTTCCATGATGTGTAGCATTCACGTTGTCACTAGCTGAGATGATGGAGCCATAGGAATATCCCACGACCAAATTGACTGTCCTGGTGTGTCATATTCCCTAGTCAGCCCCTTTGAGCCGTGTACTTTCCTTTCTTTCGGTCTACAATGGAAAATCACCCTTTTGCATCTCTTAGAAGGTTCCACAGAGTGGTTTTTGCATGCTCTCTGCTGTTTCTGCTAAATATAATGTGAGTGTTGGAGGTATTGCTTAGAATTTGGGCATGTGTTTGAAAATTGTGCAAAGGTGGTGGTTCTCTCAAGAAATGAAAAAGGGTTAATTGCAAGGTTGGTCACTGGATTTATTAAAAACGTTCACGTTTGGTCACTACAAATATTTAATTTCATTCGTGGTCATTAAGATTAACTCAATAGTTCAAATTTGGTCACTCTTCGTTAGTCTCCGTTAATTTTTGTTGATGTGGCAGTCAAACTTCATAGTTGACCGTTAAATAAATGACGTGGCTATTAAAAAAATAATAAAATAATATCAAACTTTCCACCTCATTAAACATTCATTAAATAAATTAAAAATCTAATTTGGCCGCCCCTTTGTTTTTGTCCACCGCCACCAATTTCCACCGATTCGCAGCCTGCTCCAAAATCCCAAACATGATTAGGGATGGGAATGGGTCGGGTTGGGGCGGGTTTTGTCAAACCCAAACCCAAACCCATATATCCATGGGTTTATCCGTCAAAAAAATCCGGGGTAAAACTCGTTGGGTTTGAAAAACTCAAACCCAACCCAACCCGCTGGGTATCCGCGGGTTCATGGGTACCCGTGGGTTTTTGTGGTAAAAATTTGCAATAACAAGTTTCTTTCAAAATAAAAGTTTAACATCAATTTTCTCATACAAATTAATCATACAAAAAACACCAATTTAGAGCATACAAGCAAACCTCAAATGATCAATACAAATTGTTCAAAATTAAAGATAAAAACATATATAAACAATAAGATTAATTGAAAGCTTCTTACTCGTCAACTAAGTTTCTTCACTCTCCACTTCATAATATCAACTTCATTCTAAACAATTAGAAAGAACAAATTATACATGTCTCCACAAACATATAGAATATTAGTTATTTAAGGAAGATATAGTATTTAGAATATTAAATATACCGGGAAAATAAATATATGTGTGTGGACGGGTACCCATGGGACGGGTTTACCTAAACCCAAACCCAACCCGACCCGATGAATAGTGTAACGGGTTTAAACCTGAACCCGACCCAAAACCCGTCAACACGAGTTTTACCCGCATTGACCGGATTGGGTCGGGTGGATACCCGTGGGTTCGAATTTTATTGCCATCCCTAAACATGACATCTCCCCAAAGGATTATTTCCCCATCTAATTTCTAGAATCTCCTTTACTTCTCTTTGGATGCGGCAGCGGAGAATTGTTAGCTAGTTAAGAACCCTCCCTGCAAGTCCATGACGTCGCCGATCTCGCCAGCTCTATGGCTTCTCGTTTTGTCCTCCTCCGACTAAGATCGCAACTCCTCCGCTCCACAACAACCACCGCAACTACTAGATCCTCTTCATCTTTCTCTTGCACCAACATCTTCTTCTCCTCCACTCGCCAGATCGCTTCCACCTCTAGATTGGCCTAGATAAATCTCTGCCCGATTTTAGATCTCCGCTCAGCGTATGACGATTCCGCCTCGATCTCTAGTCTGCGGCTCTTCTCCACACCGCGCCGCCACCCGGCGCGGCCAAAGACCATGGACATTGGAGCCCGAGATCCCTGCTGTTTCTTTGTTCTCGGATTAGGGATTTTCAAGGAGACCGTTTGTTTCACCCATTAGTTTGTTCCTCTAGCATGGCTCAGGCTGGGGTATTCCTTAGATCCAGATCTTTGCAATCGAGAAAATAAGATCCACCAGCTTTCGAGAACCCTATTTTTTTACCTCAAGAAGGAGCAGGTGGTTTCAATGGAACCCACCACCGTATTGTTCTGCTTGGGTGATTAGGATGTTTGGTGTGGTTCCTGTATTGGATTTTTGGTAGTTTTGCTTTCTGTGCTGAGTTGATAGAGGATGAGAAAGGGTAGGTTTAGGTGTTTATAGAATAATAGAAAATTAATTTTTATTTTTATTTTTTAATAGTTGTAAAAATGAGGTGGAAATTGTAAATGTTTAAAATTTATTATTTTAAATTTTTTTAATGGCCACATCACTCATTTAACGGTCAACTATAAGAGTTGACTGCCACATCATCAAAAGTTAACGGAGACTAACGGAGAGTGACCAAACTTAGATTATTGAACTAATCTAAGTGACCACGAATGGAATTAAATATTTGTAGTGACCAAACATGGACGTTTTTAGTAAATCTAGTGACCAACCATACAATTAACCCGAAAAAAAATAATGAAAAATGAATGAAAGCAAAAGAGAGCCGCTACCAAAAATCTGAATCATGCTCATTAAGTAGTGTTTCTTAGCAGTCTGGCTTAGAAATACTAACATTATTGTGACCTTCTTCGCTCTTGTGCTCTAGAGAATTTGAGTAATGCAGAATGGCAGAAAGAAAGTTACTGGTTTGATTGGCTGTGAATGTGTTGGGTTTGGAACTGTGGAACCTTGTGCTATGAATACTTCCACCACCTAAAAGGCTTTTTCCCCATGTCCAAGACCCTAGCAAGTCACTTGAACCTGTGTCTAAGACTTCCGGATTAGTTAGTGGTGACATCCCTTGTGTGAACTCTAACATTAGAAGCTGCCATCATGGTGAAGAGACATTAGGATTTGAGAGAATAAGAATGCGCATTTTTCGCATCAAATTGTCCTTACCCCACTGGTCGAGAGTGAGCGATTCATTTCCTTGTTCTTTATGCTCTTTACCCCGATGAGGACCTAGATGGCTTGGTCTTGATTCTGATGTCTTGAGTTTGATGCATGCGATGACTGTCTTGGTTAAGTGTTTGAGTCAAGTCTATGTTGGTTGGTGAACAGAAAGGATTACTCTTCCTTTACCAGATTTTGCTGCACTCGAATGTCCTCTGTGGTGGTTGTCTAGGTTGCTGTTGAGTTGTCCATATGTCAATGATCAAAAGCCAGTATGATTCACGTGTTCCGTGCATATATGATTTGTCCCCAAAGTTGGTATGATTGAAATGTGTTGAGCTTACCTTGTTTCTGACTTGATTTGCTTGGGGACAAGCAAACAGTTAAGTGTGGGGGAATTTGATGACTTGATATATACACATGTTTTTATCCACCATTCTTATGCCGTTTGAACCTCATTTCTTTAATCTTAGGCCGATTTCACGCTAGGTTGTTCTCGTTTGTGTTATTTCAGGTCCTAGTACGTGATTGGAGGTTTGGGAGCGAATTCGGGGTCGATTGGACGAAAGTTGGACGTTTGGCGAGAAGCTGACGAAACCACACGGCCAGACCTCGCAGCCACACGGCTGTATGGAATCCCATTACGCGGGCAAGACCACACTGGCCGTGTACTGGGTCCCTTGAGGCCGTGTGGAAATTCCAGGGAGCTCACATGGTCAGGCTGAGATTCCACACGGCCGTGCATTTCTGGCCGTGCAGCGTGCATGAAGCTAATTAGATGGAACGCCGCATTTTGGTACTCACAGGGGCAGACTGGGAAACCACATGGGCGTGTGGTCGGGAAATTCTGGGTTTTAACCCAATTTCGAGCCTAATGAGAGAGAATCGAGTTTTTGAGCAAAAAATAGAGCTTTAGAGAGAGAAAGTGTGAAGAACAAACCCTAGGAGCTATTTGGAGTGGATTTCTCACCATTGAAGCCTAGATTGCGTCCCCATGAGTGAAAATCGACATCCCAGAGCAGATTATCCTCATCTTTATGAGTATGACTACTCTGATTTCTGTTTTTCTCTCTCTCTCTCTCTCTCTATGGAGTAGAACCTTCTCTCGCTTGGGTATGAAGAACCCTAGTTCCATGTGTTAGGAATCTTGATTGTAATGACTTGGGATTGATATACTGATTGGTTATAATCGATTGATGCATGATTCATTGAGTCAATTGAAGTCTGATCATCTTTTCTTGATTTCTGCTACAACCTGAGATAGATAGAATCTGATTGGGTTGTTAGAGCTTCATCAATCGGTAGGGTAGATTGGTCATACGAGAGTTAATCGATTTACTGCTTCGTACTGGAACCCAATTCCAGTAGTGGAGTTCTGTGCTTATTGCCTCAGCAGTCTATCCCGGTGAAGGTTAGTCGCCTGCCGATTAGCCTGCCTGAGAGGGCTTGGTCAGTTTAAGAGATTCCAAGCTACTGTCGGATCTTCTGCAGTTTAATCAATAGTTAATCAACCCAGGGTAATTGCAACCTCGACCCAACTAAGGATCTAGGGGGACTCATTCCCGAGTGACTCTTCCCTTGCTAAAAAACTTTGAATCATTTCCTGTTTTCTTACTGCTTTTAGTTAAAATACAATCACTTGACTTAGTTTGCTAGATAATAGATAATCACGGAGTAGGCAGTAGATGTAGACCCCGGGTTGACAAAAAGAGCTTGTCACTTACTGCATTTCCTGACTGCGATTACACTTGGTCGCAGTTTGGTGTTGTGTTTTAGCGTGTCACTTTCCATATTTCCGTGTTAAAACGGGTGACCCATCAACCCTTGACCCACTAGCTTGACCGGGTGCGGGTCAACCCTTCTAATTCTAACAATTTGAACTCAACGTTGTCAACCCGTAAAACGTTAAGAAATTTACATCACCTTAAATTCATACCCCTCGCTCTGCTCCGCCCATCGTCGCCGTTGCGCCGCTCGATGACGGAAAAACACCATTTTCTCCCAGCAACCAATAGTCCAATCAGAGACAGAGGTAAAAGACAAAACTTAGATTGAACCGATTAATTTACATAGTTGTTGCGTTTGATCTTAGGTTCACGATGAGCTATCCAAAACATGTCCTGAAAGAAGTGCATGGGTCTACAAGCGGTAGGGAATTATTAGAATAAATGAATGTTGAACTTGTTGAGTTATTTGGGTATTACGAAATAAAAGTTGCACAACCTCCTCCACCATCACAGCCAGAAAATCAGGTTGCGGAGACTTCTAATTCTAACCATTTGAACTCAACGTTGTCAACCCGCATGTTGAACTTGTTGAGTTGTTTGGGTATTGCGAAATAAAATTTGCACAACCTCCTCCACCATCACAGCCACAAAATCAGGTTGCGGAGACTTCTAATTCTAACCATTTGAGCTCAACGTTGTCAACCCGGGTATTACGAAATAAAAGTTGCACAACCTCCTCCACCATCACAGCCACAAAATCAGGTTGCGGAGACTTCTAATTCTAACCATTTGAACTCAACGTTGTCACCCCGATGGTGGAGGAGGTTGTGCAACTTTTATTTCGTAATACCCAAACAACTCAACAAGTTCAACATTCAATTATTCTAATAATTCCCTACCGCTTGTAGACCCATGCACTTCTTTCAGGACATGTTTTGGATAGCTCATCGTGAACCTAAGATCAAACGCAACAACTATGTAAATTATTCGGTTCAATCTAAGTTTTGTCTTTTACCTCTGTCTCTGATTGGACTATTGGTTGCTGGGTGATAAACCGTTAATTGCACATGTTTTTACCCCTATTCTTGAGCCGTTTGAGATGTTGATTCTCGTGTTTTAGGCCGATTTAACGCTAGGTAGTGCTTGTTTGTGATATTTCAGGTCCTAGTACGTGCATGAAGGTTTGGGAGCGAGTTCGGGGTCGATTGGACGAAGATCGGACGTGTGGCGAGTCGCTGAGGAAGCCACACAGTCACACATAAAACCCACACGGCCGTGCAAGGAACCAATGTGGCCGTGTGGGATTGTGCGAGGCTTCACACGGGCATACTGGAGGCTCCACACGGCCGTGTGTCCCTAGCCGTGTAGGAAGCCTGAAACCCACTAAATCGAAACTCGGCATTTTGAATCTCACACGAGCATCTGGGTAAGTCACACGGCCGTGTGGCCTGCCCGTGTGAGTCGGGAATTCTGGTTTTTACCCAATTTCGAGCCACAAGTGAGAGGATCGACTTTTGAGAGAAAAAACAGAGCTTTAGAGAGAGAAAGGGCGAAGAACAAACCCTAGGAGCTATTTGGAGTGGATTTCTCACCATTGAAGCCCAGATTGCGTCCCCAGGAGTGAAGATTGACATCCCATAGCAGATTTTCCTCATCTTTATGAGTATGAGTACTCTGATTTCTGTTTTCCTCTCTCTCTCTCTCTATGGAGTAGAACCCTTCTCTCACTTGGGTATGAAGAACCCTAGTTCCATGTGTTAGGGATTTGATTGTAATGACTTGGGAGGATTATACTGTTTGGTTTTAATCGAATGATGCATGATTCATTGAATTGATTGAAGTCTGATCAGCTTTTCTTGATTTCTGCTGCAACCTGAGATAGATAGAATCTGATTAGGTTGTTAGAGCTTCATCATTCGTTAGTAGTGGATTGGTTATACGAGAGTTAGCTAGTCTACTGCTTTGTACTGGAATCCAATTCCAGTAATGGAGTTCTGTGCTTATTGCTTCAGCTTTCTATCCCGGTGAAGACTAGTCGTCTGCCGGGTAGTTAGACTGAAAGGGCTTGGTCAGCTTAAGAGATTCCAAGCTACTGTCGGATCTTCCGCAGTCTATCAACAGTAAATCAACCCAGGGTAATTACAACTGAGACCTAATTGAGGAGCTAGGGGGACTCATACCTAAGTGAGTTCCCAACTTGTAATTAGTAGAGTAGTCAGTAGAGTAGTTTATAAATCAATCCTTAATCTAGTTTGCTAGATAATGAACTGAAGCTGAGTAATAGTAACTCTAGAGACTCGTGGATTCGATATTTATTACTTGTGCCACTATACTGCAGTCGCTTTCATTGGTTACACTTGGCCATTGTTAGGTGTTGTGTTTTAGCGTGTCAAGATTTTGGCGCCGTTGCCGGGGACTTTCTAGATTATTAGGAAAGGCAGAAGTTTGTTACTTTAGCATTTTTCTTTTCTTTTCCACCCTTGCTTTTCACTTGGGTTTTTTCGTTTCTGTTGGTGCAGATCTGAATCACGGATCCTCATGGCTTCTCCAACCATTGGGGGTATCCACCACCATCTGAGTGGTATTACCCCGAGACTCCCTACAGCAATCAAGGAGGCAAAGACTATGGATTCGGGTTCCAGTACCAACCCCCTTACTACGTAGAACAATCAGACCCCTGGGCATATCAAGAACAACCTCATTACCGAGAAGAATTTCTCCCACAACCAGAAGGGCCATCGGAGCTGGAGTTATCCATGGAGGCCTTCACGGGCCATTTTGCAGAGCCATGCTACACTCCACAGCCAGATCCAAAATATCACTTGAGGCTTATCGTGGTGTAGATTGCTCGAGTACCTGAGAGATCCTTTCCCGAGATGGATCCTCATATACAGGCCATTGCCCAAACTGACTTCTCATTTCCCCGTGAAACAGAGGATACCCTTTGGAGCATAAAGGAGCACATAGAGGTCATTGAGAAAGCCTATTCACAGTTTTCTCAATACAACCTTTATGCTGCCATACAAGTAGAGGTGGAGGAAGAAGAAGGCAATCATGAGGATGTTGAGGAGCATACAGAAGTTGTCAAGGAAAGCTACCATGATAATCATGATCAAGTGTATCCTCTGGTGGTAGATCACAACTTTCCCCATTTCCGCTCTGACATGCTGGGCCCGAGCGAGGAGATGCAAGCTGAACTTATTGAGAACCTTGCATGGCGACTTGCTTCTCTATTTCTCCTCGGTTGAGTCAGTTTTGTTATTTGATTTTAGATTCAATAACTCAACCTTTGTGAGATTTTGTGTGGTGTTTGTGTTCTGATTACTCTCTCTTCCTGGAATGCACCGCCTGCCCCGTCCATCATCATTCACCCTTGATCTGGTAACTTCGTTCTACCCTCCTTATCTTTCCTCCATTGAGGACAATGCCGTGCTTAAGTGTGGGAGGGGTGCTTTGTATCGGTTAGAATCTATATACATGTGCTTGGAGCCTAGTCCGTTGTCCAAATCTCGAGATTTGAGGGCTCCAAGTACGGCTGTTTGATCATATTGGCACTGTGTTTTGATTGGTGAATGACACGCTAAAACACAACACCAATCTGCGACCAAGTGTAATCGCAGACCGAGAATGCAGTAAAGTGACAAGTAATATTATCAACCCGGGGTCTAGATCTACTGCTTACTCAGTGATTCTCTATTATCTAGCCAACTAAAGTAAGTGATTGTTGTTTAAAAGCAAAAGCAGAAAGAAAGTAGGAATTGATACGGTTTTCTCAAGCAGGTAAGAGTCACTCGGGAATGAGTCCCCCTAGCTCCTTAGTTAGGTTTCAATTGTATTTCCCTGGGTTGATTTAGTGTTGATTAGACTGCGGAAGATCCAACAGTATCTTGGAATCTTTTAAGCTGACCAAGCCCTCTCAGTCTATCTACTCGGCAGATGACTAGTCTTCACCGGGATAGAAAGCTGAAGCAGTAAGAACAGAACTCCACTACTGGAATTAGATTCCAATACAAAGCAGTACACTGGCTAACTCTCGTATAGCCAATCTCCTACTACCGAATGATGAGACTCTAGCAACCTAATCAGATTCTATCTATCTCAGATTGCAGCAGGAATCAGGAAAAGTTGATCAGACTTCAATTGACTCAATAAACATGCATCATTCGATTAAAATCAAACAGTAATATCATCCCAAGTCATTACAATCAATCCCTAACACATAGAACTAGGGTTCTTCATCCCCAAGTGAGAGAGGGGTTCTACTCCATAGAGAGAGAGAGGAAAACAAGATACAAAGCAGTCATACTCATAATTATGGGAAGAATCTGCTCTGGGATGATTATTTCCACTCCTATGACGATCTCCAAGCTTGATTTGATGAAACCCAGCTCCAAGATAGCTTCTAGGATGTGTTCTTCGTCCTTTCTCTCTCTAGGGCTCTGTTTTTGCTCAAAAATTCTGATTCCCTCTCTTGCAGCCCGGAATTGGGTTAAAACCAGGAATTGCCGACTCACACGGGCAGGGCCACACGGTCGTGTGGCATACCCAGTTGCCTGTGTGAGTCAAAACGATGCGTTCCAATTAGTTCGATCTTCAGGCTTCTCACACGGCCAGGGTCTCACGGCCGTGTGGGATTTCCATCTGCCCGTGTTTGCTCTCGGCGAAACTCGCACGGCCAAACCACTCCTTCACACGGCCGTGTGAAAATCAGGGCAAGCCGTGTGAAGGCTCGCAGAATCCCACACGGCCGTGTGAGTTGTGGGTGTGCCCGTGTGGCCTCCTTTGTGACTTGCCTCGCGCCCGATCTTCGTCCAATCGACCCCAAACTCGCTCCCAAGCCTCCATTCACGTACTAGGACCTGAAATATCACAAACAAGCACAACCTAGCGTGAAATCGGCCTAAAACACGAGAAATCACATCTCAAACGATGTAAGAACAGGGGTAAAAACATGTGTAATTAACGCTCTATCAGTGAATTGAATGGTTTTTGGATTAATGCATGACAACTGGATTGTGACTAGGACAGCCTATTATGATGACTGAGACGTGCAGTAGGATTGTGTAGGGGTTCAGTTTTTCAACTGTTTGCTTACCAACTATGACTTGAATGGATCACTTGTTCTCGACAGCCGTTTATGCATCTAGTTCAGGGAATCAGAATGAGAGATCGAGCATATAGGTAGCCATGTGAGATTTGAGCCTGCTTGTTTCTTTCTTGTGCGATAGTTCCCTCTTCCATGATGTGTAGCATTCACGTTGTCATTAGCTAAGATGACGGAGGCATAGGATTAGCCCACGACCAAATTGACTGTCCTAGTGTGTCATACCCCCTAGTCAGCCCCTTTGGGCCGTGTGTTATCCTTCCTTTCGGTCTGCAATGAAAAATCACCCTTTTGCATATTTTAGAAGGTTCCACAGAGTGGTTTTTGCATGTTCTCTACTGTTTCTGCTAATTATAATGTGAGAGTTGGAGGTAGTTCTTAAAAAGTTGGGCAGGTGTTTGAAAAATGTGTAGAGGTGGTGGTTCTCTTAAGAAATGAAAAAAAAATGAGAGAAAAACAAAGAAAAAATGAAAGCAAAATAGAGCCACCACCAAAAATCTAAATAGTGCCCATTAAGTAGTGTTTCTTAGCAGTCTGGCTTAGAAATACTAACATTTATGTGACCTCCTTCGCTCTTGTGTCCTGAAGAATTTGAGTAATGCAGAATAGCAGAAAGAAAGTACTGGTTTGATTGATTGTGAGTTTGTTGGGTTTGAAAATGTGGAACCTTGTGCTATGAATACTTCCACCTACTAAAAGGCCTTTTCCCCATGTCCAAGACCCTAGCCAGTCATTTGAACATGTGTCTAAGACCTCCGGATTAGTTAGTGATGACACCCATTTATGTGAACTCTAACATTTAGAGGCTGTCGTCATGGTGAAGAGATGTTAGGGATTGAGAGAATAAGTATGCGCATTTTTCGCATCAAATTGTCCTGACTCCACTGGTCGAGAGTGAGTGATTCATTTCCTTGTTATTTACACTCTTTACCCCGGTGAGGACCTAGATGGCTCGGTCTTGATTCTGATGTTTTGAGTTTTATGCATGAGTTGACTGTCTTGAGTAAGTGGTTGAGTTAAGTCTATGTTGGTTGATGAACAGAAGTGGGACTCCTCCTTTATTCGATTTTGCTGCACTCAAATGTCGTCTGTGGTGATTGTCCAGGTTGCTATTGAAGTTGTTCATGTGTTGATGTTTGAAAGCCAGTATGATTCACGTGTTTCTGTGCCTATATGATTTGTCGCCAATGTTGGTATGATTGAAATTTGTGAGCTTACCTTGTGTCTGACTTGGTTTGCTTGGGGACAAGCAAACGGTTAAGAGTGGGAGAGTCTGATAAACCGTTAATTGCACATGTTTTTACCCCTATTCTTGAGACGTTTGAGATGTTGATTCTCGTGTTTTAGGCCGATTTCACGCTAGGTTGTGCTTGTTTGTGATATTTCAGGTCCTAGTACGTGAATGAAGGTTTGGGAGCGAGTTCGGGGTCGATTGGACGAAGATCGGACGTGTGGTGAGTCGCTGAGGAAGCCACACGGGCACACATAAAACCCACACGGCCGTGCAAGGAACCAATGTTGCCGTGTGGGATTGTGCGAGGATTCACACGGGCAGACTGGAGGCTCCACACGGCCGTGTGTCCCTGGCCGTGAAGGAAGCCTGAAACCCACTAAATCGAAACTCGGCGTTTTGACTCTCACACGGGCATCTGGGTAAGTCACACGGCCGTGTGGCCTGCCCGTGTGAGTCGGGAATTCTGGTTTTTACCCAATTTCGAGCCACAAGTGAGAGGATCGACTTTTGAGAGCAAAAACAGAGTTTTAGAGAGAGAAAGGGCGAAGAACTAACCCTAGGAGCTATTTGGAGTGGATTTCTCACCATTGAAGCCCAGATTGCGTCCCCAGGAGTGAAGATTGACATCCCAGAGCAGATTATCCTCATCTTTATGAGTATGACTACTCTGATTTCTGTTTTACTCTCTCTCTCTCTCTCTCTCTCTATGGAGTAGAACCCTTCTCTCACTTGGGTATGAAGAACCCTAGTTCCATGTGTTAGGGATTTGATTGTAATGACTTGGGAGGATTATACTGTTTGGTTTTAATCGAATGATGCATGATTCATTGAATTGATTGAAGTCTGATCAGCTTTTCTTGATTTCTGCTGCAACCTGAGGTAGATAGAATCTGATTAGGTTGTTAGAGCTTCATCATTCGTTAGTAGTGGATTGGTTATACGAGAGTTAGCCAGTCTACTGCTTTGTACTGGAATCCAATTCTAGTAGTGGAGTTCTGTGCTTATTGCTTCAGCCTTCTATCCTGGTGAAGACTAGTCGTCTGCCGGGTAGTTAGACTGAGAGGGCTTGGTCAGCTTAAGAGATTCCAAGCTACTGTCGGATCTTCCGCAGTCTAATCAACAGTAAATCAACCCAGGGTAATTACAACTGAGACCTAACTAAGGAGATAGGGGGACTCATTCCCGAGTGATGATACAATCCTGAATTCCCCCTTAAGTCATTTAGGATTGATCGTTAAAGATTCAAAGCTAAAACGTAAAATCTGCTCAAGTGTTTTTGATCATTTCAGGTACAAACTTTGTACAAGTTTATCTCGCTGTTGGGTTGATGGAAATTGGAGTTCTCGAGCTTGCTTTGTACAAGGAGAGTTACTCTTTCGGTTGGTATACTTTGGAGTTCGAGGGGAAGTTCAGAAGTTGATGTTTCAGGGCGATCAAGATGCTACCTCAACACTGGGAAAATTGCCAGATTCGGCTAAGTATGGAAGTGTGTTCGAGCAGGGTACTTTGAGCTTTAATTCGAAGGGCTTGAAGGGGAGTCGAAGCAGGAGGAAGGCATCACATGAGAGCTCGCATTTACTTATACAACGTCGTGGAATTGGGTGATCTGGTTGACGCGCGGAAGGGCTCGAACGAGGAGGCAGAAGTTCGTGTCGACAATGAAGCTGCTGTCTGGAGGAACAAGTAATCCGAATCCTATTCGGATTAGAATTCGTTCACAGCTTGGGATTTCTTTCCTTTTCGTATTAGATTCGGTTTCCTTAGAGTTCATAATTGTTTAGGACATTATTTACTTGCGTTGTAAGTTAGTTTACCTATTTAAACTCATGTAAACGATGTAATCGTTAGTTTTGGAGTTCAATTGAAGTACAACCTAAGCCGGTTTCCGAGCTTGAGTTGAGAGCTTCCTAGAGCGACGTCTAGGCTGTTTGATTTGCTTGTATCGATCATTCGCCATCCTGATCGTGGCCAAGCCTCGACGATAATCTTCGAGCCTCCTTCCCGCGTGAGGGTTGCACGAGATTTCCACCCAAGTCACACCAAAGTGCTTCTTGTTTGAGTCTTCTTGAGAAGCCAGTTCTTAATCCGCGAACTCTGATCACGAGAGCTAACCTTGGCCTCATCAAGTGACTCTTCCTTGCTTTAGAAAACCGAACCAATTCCTGCTTTCTTTCTGCTTTTTAGTTAAAACAACAATCAATCGACTTAGTTGGCTAGATAATAGATAATCACGGAGTAGGCAGTAGATCTAGACCCCGGGTTGATATTTAGAACTTGCCACTTTACTGCAGTCCCATTCTGCGATTACACTTG